TTTAGCATTACAATTACCCAAGGTTCGTTTGAGATACAGGCTTGGCTTGAATTTGGTCCAGAAGTTATATTTTTGCTATTTTATGTCTAACGCAATCTGCAAAAGAAAACATAAGACACATTGTTTTGTTTCACATCCTGTTCCAGGTTAGGCACATTGCTTGATGCCTCAATCACATCCCAGCTGAAACTTCTTGATAAACTTTTAAGTTTGTTCTTTAGACATTACTGGGGTTCAGGTGAGGCCCTGTTGCCCTCCAGAGAGCCCCCAGGGCCATCACCGGGCTTTGCTAGAATCGCAGAATTATTGAATGATTTGGGTTGGAAGGGACCTTTAAAGATCATCCAGTCCAACCCTATTCTGGCAACTGGGAGCTCTTGTCTTTTCCCAGTGATCCCTGCTGGATACACCCTTTATTGAGGTTTTTCTGGATGAATGCAGTGCTGGCCCTAGCTTTAATCATCAATATTGTGGCTCCTGTGCCCGAGTGAAAAGAGAATATCTGTCATTTCTCACTGGTGGTACAAAGGCAATTACTAATATTTATTCCAAAAAGTTTGGCCACTTGGTCGTGGGAACACCTTGGCCTGGGGGTTGGGCATTCCTCCATCAGTTTCCCCAATAGTGGGGCTGGAGAAGCAGGTGGGACAATTTTATCCAGTACCTTCCCAACATCCAGGCTATCAGAGCAACCCCTTTCATGATTATCCCATTGTTTCTTTAAGGTGGCTCTGGGGAGCGTGTCAAACTGGCCTGTCATAAATCCGGTTTCTCCCAGGAGGTCCCATAGAGTCACAGACTGGTTTGGGTTGGAATAGATCTTAAAGCTCACGCAGTTCCACCCCCTGCCCTGGGCAGGGACACCCCCCACCAGCCCAGGTTGCTCCAAGCCCCGTCCAACCTGGCCTTGAACACCTCCAGGGATGGGGCAGCCACAGCTTCTCGGGGCAACCTGCCCCAGGGGCTCACCACCCGCACAGGCAACAATTTCTTCCTCAGATCTCATCTAAATTTCCCCTCTTTCAGTTTAAAACCATTCCCCCTCATCCCATGGCTCCCCTCCCTGATCCAGAGTCCCCCCCCAGCTCTCCTGGAGCCCCTTTAGGCACTGGGAGGGGCTCTCAGGTCTCCCCTTTTTCGCCTTCTCCTCTCCAGGCTGAACCCCCCCAACTCTCCCAGCCTGTCCTCAGGGGCACAATCCCCCCTCGCCCTGCTGGCCACGCTGCTGGGGATGCAGCCCGGGGTGCGGGGGGCTTTCTGGGCTGCCAGCGCACAGTGCCGGCTCCTGGGGAGCTTCTCACCCACCGACACCCCCAAGCCCTTCTCCTCAGGGCTGCTCTCCAGCCCTTCCCCGCCCAGCCTGGATTTGTGTTTGGCATTGCCCTGACCCACGTGCAGGACCCTGCACTTGGCCTTGTTGAACTTTGTGAGGTTTGCTGCAGGCTGGGCTAAGGTCTAAGGATGTCTGCAAAAATGCTGAACATTCTTCTGAAGATTATGCTCGATTGGTTAAACAAATGAAGGGTCAACCCCAAAAATGAGGAAAATCAGGCTCTAATGGTACATTTCTTTGTAAACCAATCAGCTCCAGATATTAAGAAATATTTTTCTAAGCATGCCTGGATGGCAGGGCAAAGGATTAGATGAAGTAGTCAGTACTGCTGTGTTTGTGGTTAAATGGAAGAGATGAAAGATAACTGAAGGAAAAAAAAAAAAAAAAAGAAAAAGAACAGGAACAGAAAACTAGTGTATTGTCAGCAGTGTTGGGTAATAATCCTAGATTAAGGAGATGGAGGTTTCCAAGGTAGAGGCAGAAGAGAAAATTTGAGAAGCAAGGGATCTCACTGAACAGAAGGCTGTTGCAAACTGCTGTAATTATCATTGACAACAAGGTCCTTGGAAAGGGGAGCTCCCAGTATGACAAAACAAACCAGGACAAAGCAAAGCAAACCAAACCTCCCCAAAAGACATCTCCATCCTCAGGTGCGATCATTCCCTGCTCTGTGCAACAGTGGCAGCCAGATTTCACCCAGGACTGACAGTCAGCAGGGACCTATGGTGCAGTCGCTACAGAACCCTCTGATTATGAAATCCTTCTCCTTTCTTCTTTTGAGAATGCAGTCTTAAACCTTTTGATTAATGAACATAATTACCCCTGTCTAATAGACACAGAGGCAACATTTTGCACCTTAAATCACTATATATATTCATCTGGACACTCAATACCTTTTGCGTTTCCTTGTGGACAAGGCTTCCTCGGGGCTTTGCTGGGTCCTCCACTGGTTGGTTCCCCCCCCCCTTAAGAATTTTAGTAAAAGATTTGCAGGATGCTGTGTTTAGAAATGGATACGTTCTGGTGCAATATGTTGATGGTTTAGCGGTAGCCAAGGAGTCTCATGTAGCTGACACCTGTACCTTACTGTTTGCTTTCGTTAAGAACAGCCATTGGACTTGTCACTGTAAGATACAATTTTTGCAATGGCAAAACCCCCGGGATAGACTATTGCTCAAGATGCTGGAGAACCCCTTCACCGGGCAAGAGATGAGGTAAAGCCATCTGAGATTTTTTGAAGCCAACATTAGCGACTGCAGCTGCTCTGGGATTGCCAGACTACGGGTAGCCGTGTTTGTACATGGAGAAATGTAACCTTTCCAAAACTAGTACTGCCTGGTAGCTCAAGGATCCTTTGCCTGTGTCCCTGGGACAGCTGCTACAGCACCTCTGGTTGACCAGAGTGAAAAAACGTGGAGCTTGGATCCCCTCTAGTGGTACAAGTACCACATGAAATTAAAATACTGCTGTCACAGCACTGTCACCTCTGCAAAAACATAGAATCGGAGTATCGTTTTGGTTGGAAGAGACCTTTAAAACCACCAAGTCCAACCATAAACCCAGCACTGACAAGTCCACTACTAAACCATGTTCCTCAGCACCACATCTACACATCTTTTAAATACATCCAGGGATGGTGACTCCACCACTGCCCTGGGCAGCCTCTTCCAGTGATACTCACGTAAGAGTACTGCGATGCACAAGTACAAGCAGTTTGGCCAGAGACACTTGCAATAAACACTGAGTACGGGCAACACTGGCTGCTGAGTCCTCATCACATCTCTCAGTTCCTCATGAATTGGTGACCATGTGCTGTATTTTGCATCCACCTTTCATACCCATCATGAGGCTCTTCCTCCACAGAGGACCAGGGCTTTCGTCAGGCTTTACCATGGTCCAGGTGGGACACTGCTGCCCTCCAGAGAACCTCAGGACCCCAAAAGACTAGAATATTTCAGCTGGAAGGGACCTACAATGATCATCTAGTCCAACTGCCTGACCCAAACTTCAGGGCTGACCAAAAGTTAAAGCATATTATAAGAGGCATTTGGACAATCCCCTTAGAACACAGGCATGGGGCATCAATCACCTCTCGAGGTAGCTTGTTCCAGTGTTTGACCATTCTCTCAGCATTGTCCACAAATGGAAAGTCACTGTTCCCACACTCATGGTCCTCTCTCATGCCCAGACTCAGGGGACTGGGCAGCCTAAGGCCTATCAGTAAGGACAGAAGCAAGAAAAAAGAGCATTGAACACCTCCACTTTTTCTCCATCCCTATCAGTCAGATGACTGATCTTCAACAAGTATCATTAATGCTTTCTTTAGACTTCCTCTTGCTATCAACATACTTAGAAAAGCCCTTTTTGGTGTCTGACACAACACTAGCCAGTTTCAACTCTGAGCTTTGGCCGTTCGTGTTTTCTCCCTGGATGTGCAAACCATGGCTCTGTCCTCACTTCCAGAGACCATACAATTCCATTTTCCTCTAAGGGA